GGAGATACTGTGGCATTTTAGATTTTGTTTACCACATTTTGAACACCTGAAAATGATCTTTCTCTGCCCGTGTGCCCTTTTGAGATGGTCAATCAGCCCCAACATCCAAGTAAACCAGGTCTCACAACAAGGACAAGATGGTTGTTTGTCAGGCATGGACACGACAGGTGTTCTTGGCGTTATACCATCACCTTCAGACCCGTGAGGAGCCTCGGGTGTTTTGGGCTCTTTACTACCTCCCACTGTGCTCTCAGCCTCAGGTGTTTTGGGCTCTTCGGTACCTCCCACTGCACTGTCAGCCTCATCCTGGGCCATCCCCATAGGGGAGATCTCATAGGGCTCAGGGAGTTGCCCCAAACCCTACCAAACATCCACATGATGTACACCATCTTCTTTAACAATTTTGGAGTTAAAAAACTCCAAACTTGCAAGATCGAATCCCTCTTCCCTGGGCACAGAGGGCATAGATGGTAATTTGGCATCAATGACCCTTAGATCTAATGGGTCAGTCTGAGTGGTAGTCGAGATATAACGCAAAGCCATTTTGTCAGTCCGGTAAGCAATAAAGTGACAAGTCCAAGTGAGGGTAGAAGCATATAGTAGCTGACCCTCTCTCAAACTACCAACTGTGTCAACAACAGCCCGTGGACAAGGCTCTGTGCAACAGCGAACTAACTGTGCCAACCTTTTTGTTTCAGCGATTCGTGACACTATTGTTGGGTGGTGAGTCCAACAATAGGGAGGGCTGATATGCGCCCTCTCCCACACTGGGGCAGAAGTCGACTCAGTTACCACGAGGGTATCCGGCAGGACCACGAGGAGGTGTGACTTCCACGGCTATGCCCAGTTAGTAAATATAGTTACTCCCGCCGTTTACCCGCCCTTCATTGAATTTCTTCACTTTGACATTCAGAGCACTGGGCAGAAATCACATTGCGTCAACACCCGCCTCGGGCCTTCACAATGCTTTGTTTTAATTAAGCAGTCGGATTCCCCTGGTCCGCACCAGTTCAAAGCCGGCTGCTAGGCACCGACTGAGGCGGGGCACTGGCCCAGGGACCCTCCCCCGGGGACCCTCCCCCGCACAAACTGCTCAGCCGACACCGGCTGCGCGCACGCTGGCCGCACACCGCGGGAACCCCATTGGCGGGAACCGCTGGGGCGGTGGTGCGCAACGATGACGGCTGCCACTGGGGCACTGGCCGCGGCAAGGTGGAGGGCGGGCGGAGCGGGGGGCGGGTGGCGCCCGCCACAGCCGGGGCGATCCACAGGAAGGACCCGGTGTGTGTCCAGAGTCGCCACCGTGCGCGCGCATGCCCCAGCGCCCGGGCGGGCCACGCGGAGCGCACTCACCCGCGCGCGGCACCTCGTCCAGCTGCGGCACGCACCCAGCCCCGCTTCGCGCCCCAGTCCGACCAACCCAGCCCTTAGAGCCAATCCTTATCCCAAAGTTACGGATCCGGCTCGCCGACTTCCCTTACCTACATTGTTCCAACATGCCAGAGGCTGCTCACCTTGGAGACCTGCTGTGGTATGGGTACAACCCGGCACGAGACTTACACCCTCTCCCCTGGATTTTCACGGGCCAGCGAGAGCTCACCCGATGCCGCCGGAATCGCGACACTTTCCAAGGTGAGGGCCCCTCTCTCGGGACGAATCCATTCCAAGGCGCCCGGCCCTTCACAAAGAAAAGAGAACTCTCCCCGAGGCTCCCACCAGCTTCTCTGGGATCGGTTGCGTCACCGCACTGGGTGCCTCGTGGCGCCCATCTCCACCACTCGGAGGATTCGGGGATCTGAACCCGACTCCCTTTCGATTGGCTGAGGGCAACAAAGGCCATCGCCCGCCCTTTCGGAATGGCACTCACCTTATTGCTTAGGACCGACTGACCCATGTTCAACTGCTGTTCACATGGAACCCTGCTCCACTTCAGCCTTCAAAGCTCTCATTTGAATATTTGCTACTACCACTAAGATCTGCACCTGCAGCAGCTCCACCTGGGCCCACGCCCCAGGCTTCGAGGCGCACCGCAGCGGCCCTCCTACTCGTCACGGCCTAGCCCCCGCGGGCCTCGCACTGCCAGCGACGGCTGAGTATGGGCCCAATGCTCCAGCGCCATCCATTTTCAGGGCTAGTTGATTCGGCAGGTGAGTTGTTACACACTCCTTAGCGGATTCCGACTTCCATGGCCACTGTCCTGCTGTCTAGATCAACCAACACCTTTTCTGGGCTCTGATGAGCGTTGGCATCGGGCGTTCGATTCATCCCACAGCGCCAGTTCTGCTTACCAGAAGTGGCCCACTGAGCACTTGCATTCCACGGCGCGGCTCCACGCCAGTGAACTGGCTCCCTTACCCATTGAAGGTTTGAGAATAGGTTGAGATCGTTTCGGCCCCAAGACCTCTAATCATTCACTTTACTGGGTAAAACTGCCCATTGCCGAGTGCCAGCTATCCTGAGGGAAACTTCGGAGGGAACCAGCTACTAGATGGCTTGATTAGTCTTTTGCCCCTAGACCCAGGTCGGACGACCGAATTGCATGTCAGGACTGCTACGGACCTCAACCAGAGTTTCCTCTGGCTTTGTCCTGCCCAGGCATAGTTCACCATCTTTCGGGTCCTAGCATGGACGCTCACGCTCCACCTCCCCAGCCCCGCGAGGGGGCGGCGGGCGAGACGGTCCAGTGGTGCGCCCGGGGCTGCCAGGCGCGACACGCGCCCCGGGATCCCACCTCAGCCAGCGCGGGCCGGCCCTCACCTTCATTGCGCCGCGGGCTTTCGACAATGGTCCCTGACTCGCGCACATGCTAGACTCCTTGGTCCGTGTTTCAAGATGGGTCAAATGGGTAGCCGACATCGCTGCGGACCCCGGGTGCCCCAGCGCGGCCCGTGAGCCTGGCCTGGCAGCGCCGCGCGGTCAGGGTGCACTGAGGACAGTCCACCCTGGTTGACAGCAGTGCCGGAGACTGGCAGGCCCAGCCCCCACACACCTGCGTGAAACGCCGTGCTGCGAGGATGCCACTTCTTCCCCCCCCATGAGAGGCGGGGAAATGATGCCCCCCACCACGGTGCCACTGATGTGGGGGGAGGAGGGCACAGTGGCAGTCCTTTCCCTCGGCCCCGGGATTGGGCGAGACCTGCTGCCCGAGGGCTGTAATACCCGCCGCTGCTCGCGCAGCACTGGACCACCTGCCCGTCGGACCACCTGCCCGCCGGAGGCCTTCCCAGTCAACATGGAGCCGGTCATGGCGCACCATCGCAGAGGAAATGTGCCCGGACAGTGCCAGCTGCCGGCTGGGCGGCAGTTCCCGGACCAGCCTGCACCCCCCAGCCTGCCTCCGCAGGCAGGGTTCGCCCAGGGCATGGAAGGGAGGCGGAGGCGAGGTTCCACTGAACCCGTGCCTGCCACAACTCGCCGGGTTGAATCCTCCAGGCGGACCGTGCGGGCCCCACCCGTTTACCTCTTAACGGTTTCACGCCCTCTTGAACTCTCTCTTCAAAGTTCTTTTCAACTTTCCCTTACGGTACTTGTTGGCTATTGGTCTCGTGCCAGTATTTAGCCTTAGATGGAGTTTACCACCCGCTTTGGGCTGCACTCCAAAGCAACCCGACCCTGAGAAGTCCCGGGCCCAGCATGCCGGGGGCCACTACCGGCCTCACACCGTCCACGGACTGCAGCCTCGATCACAAGGACTTGGGTCCCCTGAGAGCGCCGCCAGGGATTGGGACTTCTGTACGCCACATGTCCCACACCCCATTGCGGGGCAGGGATTCGGCGCTGGGCTTTTCCTGCTTCGCTCGCCATTACTGAGAGAATCCTCATTAGTTTCTTTTCCTTGGCTGACTTACAAGCTAAATTCAGCGACTTGCCACGTCTGATCTGAGGTCGCAAGGCCAAAGCTTGGCCGCACCTCCTGGCCCATGCAGCTCCTAAAGAAGCAGCATGCCAACAGGCCAACAGCCAGCCAGCTTCTCCCACCTACCAGCCTCACCTTCCTCCCCACTGGCGCACTCGCACCAGGGGAAAACAAAGCCAGAGGGAGAGAAGCGGAGACAGAGTGCCCCATCCCGGAGATGAGAACCGAAAAGGGAGTGTGGCAGAGACAGCCCTGATGGGGGACCAGGCGGCATGTGATGGCCTTGGTGGAGAGAGAGAGAAAAGCCATGGTGCTATTTGCGCCCCGAGACCATGACAGAAGAGGAGGAGGGCAGGCGAAGGGAGGAGGGGGTTGGAACATCTGTCCCCAGCGCTCTCGCCTCACGCGCACGCGCAGTGGCACAGTACCCCTGCAGTACCCACCTGCAGACAGCCGTCCACGTGGGGGGGAGGCTGGGGGTGAGGCCTGCGCCTTATCTCCCTCTTGTCCTCTCCCTTCTCTCGGCCCACGGCAGTGCTTTCAACGCTGTCTCTTACTCTCCTCAGCTGCCACCACCACCGTACCGCGGTACGGGCCCTGAAAGGACAAACTCTGCCCCAGTGGCTCACTCTGGGAGTGGGGAACTATGGAGCAGTCCTTGAGTCTGCATATAGGGGGATGAAAGCCCTGCGTGGCAACAATGATGATGACAGCCATGACGATGATGATGCCTGCTGGGTCACAGGGAAAAAATTGAGGCCGCTGAGGGAAACGCATCCCTTGCCAAACCCCTGACCGCCTTCCCTCTGGGCACCGGTGAGCCACCATCACCACCGCCGCTGACCACAGTCAACTGGCCTGTGAGGCAACCCCAGCTGAACCACCTTGGTGGCCGCTGGACGGCGACTGATCGTCAAGCAACACTCAGATGGGTGTAGCCCTGGGAGGAACATGGGGCCGCAAGTGTGTTTAAAGTGTGGATGACCAATGTGTCCTGCAATTCACATTAATTCTTGCAGCTAGCTGCATTCTTCATTAACGCACGAGCCCAGTGATCCACCACTGAGAGTTGTCTGGCTTTCAGCACTGATCCCGCACCCGTGGAGGGGCTGGGACCGCTCACATGGGGCACCCCTTTCTCTTGTGCTGAGGACGTGCGGGCGCGTGCCTGGCTTTGACCGTCCGTACTTGATAGTCAGGAGTGCAGACATAGGAGATCCAGCCACACTGAACTGGAATTCTTCCTCAAACCTCCACACTATGGTGGCACTGAAGGAGATCTGAGCAGTCTGGGTCCCGCCTGGTGCAATGATGCCCTCCTCAGGCGCAAACTTGAAGCAGAAGCCCACGTTTGCAGTTGAAGGGCTATAGGTGAAGGGAGCATCAATAGCTCCTAGGTTTATCAGTTCCACCTGCAGCAGCAAGAAAGCAAAATGGAAATACATGTGGAATCTTCCCTTCTTGTGAGTTATTGTCTAATGATGCAATTAATACCCAGAAATAGCAGATGATGCTATGAATGGCAAAAAAATACAACAGGACAAGTTCTGCCCTTTTTCATGCAAAGCAGTGGCAACTCCACAGAACTGGAGTCCACAACCCTGGGGTTATCCCATGGACACAGAGCAGTGCACCTCTGATCAGCACCACCAAGTTCATTCAGACCTGGCCCTGAGAGCAACATGGGCTGATTGCAGCTCTGTGTAGTCAATCACCCCAGAGCTGCTGCTGCCCCACTGAGCACAGCTCCAACACCACCATCTACTCATTCACCTTTTCCCATGTCATGAAAACAATACATTGATTATGAGGCATCAGCATCAAAATGTATAGACAGCATCATCTTTTGGTAAGAAAACTCAGCATGTCTTTGCCTCCCACAGCCAAGCTTTTGGAAGTGTCTGGCATGATGTAGTGCCTCATTTTCTACCTCTTTCAGCTGCTCTCTCTTTGGTTTTTTTTGCAAACTTGACACTATTGGGGAGGAGGCAAATAGGTAGAAAAATGCTTTGCTTTATTCCCAGGAACACTTTTCTCTTTCTAGAGCCAGAGATGCACCAAGGCTGAAGTGTGGTGAGGGACTGGTCAGCAAGGGAAAGAACTCCCAAGTCCTTTCAAAGGGCCAGCACTGAGCCAGGAGGCTGGATGGCTTTCCTGTGACTTGCAGCAATAAGCAGGAGACACTTGACTGGAAACTGTCTGCAGTGGACTGAAGCTCAAAGGCAGCCAGTTTCTTCCAGCTGCTTCTGAACAGCCCAGTCCAAAGGTGCCTTGTGTCTGGCACTGCCACAAAAGCCTCTGAACATCCCTTTTTGACCCAGGCTTCGTTTCATGTGCCAAGGGGTTGTTTTGCAGCAAGCCTCCCAGCTGATTCCCAAGGAAGGAACTGGGCCTTCATGAACAACAGACACACCTTTCAGACCCTCTCAGATTTCACCAGTACATCAAATATTCCCTGCTCACAAATGCCCAGGTTGGCAGCAATTCCACACTTCCACCAGGCTTGCTCCTGCCTCAGGAGCCATCAGGATCCACCCCAAGCCCTGCTGCTCACCTCATAGACGTGGGGGGTGTCAATAGAAATGTTCCCAAGGTTCAGAGTAGGAGAGCTGAATTCTTCCAAGGGTCCTTGGCCTTCCCCTGAGAGGTGCAGGGGCAGCCTGCTCTCACAGCCTGGGGAGAGATGTCCATTGCACTACAATCATTCCCTCTGTTATACTCTATTTTCCAGGCTGCCTCAGTGCTAGTCCCTGACTCTGAGCTGGATGCAACCAGCTCCTGATGCTGCAGGAGAGGATATGGACCCTCCTCTTCCCTCAGCCTTGGGGCTGACTTCTAATTTCTAACCCATTCCTTGGGCTGCTTTCCAATTTCAGCCACCAGTCTGCTGAGTTTAAAACATCTCTGCTGCCTTGTAGTGACAGGCCAAGGAGTTACAGGTATAAATTGAAAGAAAGGAAATTTAGGTTAGATATTAGGAAATTTTTTACTCTGAGGGTGGTGAGACACTGGAGCAGGTTCCCCAGGGCTGTTGTGGAGGTTCCAGCCCTGGAAGTGTTCCAAGCCAGGCTGGATGGGGCTTGGAGCTACCTGCTCTAGGGGGAGGTGTTCCTGCCCAGAGGCTTTTAAGGTCCATTCCATCCTTAACATACTCTGGTTCTATGCTGTCCTTCCCATGCACTTAGTGGAGCTTTGAAATCATTCAGTGAAGGCACAAAGCTCCTACAGAGTTTGGCAATTCCCAAACTACCTGGCCCAGGAGCACAGGACATTTTTGCCAAAGTCCCCAACTCCTGACACTCAGCACTGCGTTCTGTTTCCACAGACAGAGCTGCAAGGGCTCAAATCCCACAAAGGGAGAGAGGCAGGTGCTGGCCAAGGCTGCTCCTTCTACGAACAGCCTGGGCTCAGGGGGGCTCAGTCACCTCTGCTCTGCTGCTGTCTGGGCACTGGGAGGTGATCCAGGCTCAGGGAACACATTTCTAACTCAGCGCCTGCTGCCTGATGATGGATCCATGTCAAATGGACCCATCATCCTGGAGGCCAGGGGCCTGCAGGGGCTGAGTGCTTGTTCATTAAAGCTGTTCTGCTCTGCAGCTCTCTGGCCTTTGAAGGAATGCTGGCAAAGCCATGGCATGAAAACCTCTCCCTGCACTGCCTGGGCTGTTCTGGAATCAGTCAGGCACACACAGCATTCTGAGCCCTGGCCTGGCACAGGAGACTCCCTGGAGGCTGCAGGGCCAGGGGGGATGTGCCAGCACTGCCCTGCTGACCAGGGATTCTTCCCAGCACTTCCATGGGAGCCCAGTGGGCTCAGGCTTGCACCATGGCTTTGCTGAGGGGGAGAGAAGCAGGGCAAAGGAGCTGTACCTGAGATGCTGCAGTAAGCCACACTTCCATACTCCAGTGCTTCCAGGGGTTTGAAGGTCACCTTGATTTTGGCCAAACAATTCGGCCCAATTTCTCCCTCCTACAGCAGAAAGAGACAGCAAAACATTGCTCTGCAAAGTTCACATTTCTTGTTTTCAACCACACTTCTGTAAGCCTCTGTTTAGAGCATTAGTAATGAGTGAACAACACAAGGAGCCCAAGGAAACACTCCAAACCCAGCTCAACACAGCACTGGAAGCTCTCAATGCTCAGCTGTTCAGCTCCCACTCTCCACAATACTCCTGCTGCTCTGACAAAGGCTCTTGGTCACATCATGCTGCTGTCAGCTACAGTGGGATGCGACTGCCACTGTGCACTGGTGGCTCTTCACAAGAAGAGAACATGATCCCTGTCCTGGGTTGACTATATGATGCTTTTATCCCAAATCGTCTTGTTCTGTTTATGCTGAATAATAAGTGTTGCACCTTTAAGACTTGTTGCAGAGAGTGAAGGGGGGAGAGAAGAAGCAGCAGTTTGTTTTCAGACACTGCACTCACTCCTCCACACTCCTGCTTCTGGACTGCATTGTCTGCAGATGGACAGACAGCGGTTCAGAGCTCTCCTTTGCTTTTAGTTAATTTAGCTTGCTGAGGCAAAGAAGTTCCCTGGACTGTGGGGTTTTTTTCCTTTCTTTGGACCTGTTCAAACCTGCTCTGGACTGAACACCAGCAGAGCACCAACAGCTCAACCTGTGGCCACCGGGCTGGGCCTGGCCTGTGACATTTCCAGGACCAGAGGGACTGATCAGAGACTGAGTGAGCTGAGTTGCAACCTGGGGAGGGACTTTCTCAGTTTGTCATCTCTTTTGGAGCAGCAAGGAGTTTTATTGATTAATACTGTTTAGGGTTTATTGTTTAATAAACCGGTTTTTTCCACTTCAAGGAGGTCTTTTCTCCAGGACAGGTTGGGGGTAGGGGCCGATTGAATCTGCTTTCCTAGAGGAGCCCCTTTGGGGGTTCTCCCCCAGATTTGCCCGGAACCAGAACCTTGGAAATAAAAATATTAGTTTAACCTGTATTGAAAGAAAGCAGAGGCTGGCATTATTCTAGCGTTTACTCCAAGATGAGAAGGGATGTTGCACTGTGCAGACACCAGGCATTCATTGTCTCTCACAATGCCAGTACTCAGAATCAGGGCTCTGTTTGATATGAGGACGTGGTGGTTTGCTTGCAGAAACAGAAAAGGAAAAGGTTTTCTGTCCCTGTGTGCAGGACAACTCCAAAGGCCCATTTCAACCTTCCACCCTTGTGTCCAGGCTCACAGAGGACACTGGAAGGGACACTCAGAAATAGTGCAAGGCGTGGTTACAGGAGGGGATTGGCATTTCTATGATTAGCCTTAGGCTGAATTTGGCCTCACTTTCCCAGCAAACCATTGCAAGCTTCAGGTCAGTGTGTGAGCTGGCAGTGCTCCAACAGCCTCTGCTGAACCTCACGTGTGGGGGGAGCCCCTACCTACAAGAACTGCTCCCTGTGGACACTGCAAGGACACGCACAGAGTGCCCTTGAGCTCAGGCCCTGGCAGCACAGCTTGGCCTTGTCAGGCTCCCAACCCTGCCTTGAGCTTCCAGGGCAGAAATGCTTTTAGCATTTGGCATTTTTAGGCAAGCTCTGCAGGTGCACCAGAAACTCAATGTCTTCCCTCCCAGCACATCGAGCCAGCTGAGGATCTGCCCAGTGACCGCAGCCGGGGGTAGAGTGGGTGGGAGGAGGAAGAGGGGGAGGAGGATGAGGAGGAAGAAGAGGAGGAAAATGAGGTTTTCACCTATCACTTACCATTGGCTCAATGAAAAAAATGTCATCAGAGAACAGCCTGGGGTCTTGGTGCAACTTTGCCTTCTCCCCCAGGAGCCTCAGGAGGGCAGTGTGATCTTCACCAGAGCCCTTCTCCTTCCCTGTTTCTTTCCCCTCCATTGATTTTTCCAGCCACAGCTCTCTCCGTGTCCGCAGGAATCGATGCTGCCTGCAGCCACAGGAGAGACAAAGCCAGCAGACTGTTTAATAAGCCACAGATTGGCAGAGAGAAGTGTGAGTGCAGGAGAGCAAAGCACCTGGGGAGGAGCAGCAGTGTGAGAGATGAGTAATGTGATGATTTATCAAAAAGCAGGATGCCCCAACACAGGGAACGATTGGCAGCTGACTCCATTGATTCACAAGGCTGAACAGTTGCTTTATTAAACTATATTATGTTACATTGTACTACACTATATTAAAGATGCATACTATACTACAAAGAATACTAAAGAATACTAAAGAAAACTTGTGACTGTCTCCAGACAGCCAGGACAAAGCTTTTTCCAATTGGCCAAGGAAACAAAACAGTCCTCAGCAGAATCCAACTGACAAATCATTTCAGGTAAAGAATCTTCCTAACACATTCCACATGATAGAGATAAGAATTGTTTTCTTTCTTTTCTCTGTGATTCTCCAGGAAAAAAAAAACCTTGGGAGAGAGAATTATGTGTTTCTGTTCAGAGAATGTGAATACCACAATGATTGACTCTCACAATTAACAGACAAATACCATGTATAGAAGTTAAGAAAAATTTCTTTTACTCCTCAGTTGTTATCAAGGGACAGCTGGGGTTGGGATATGTGGGATGGTCGCCTTGTCACTACAGCGACATCTGACCTCCAATCAAGATTTGAGGAAGTAAACTCTACCACTGGACACTGAAGATGGAGTCAATGGACAGAATTTTGGGAGGGGCTAAAGGGTTAAAAGGCAAAACCTCCATTGTGTGGGAGAGCACACGGTGCGGAAAATCCTTTGCTCCTGGCGCCATAACATTTTCTCTATTCAGTCTTCTGTTGCATCTTTGATAAGGTTTAATAAACCTCTCTCAACTTATGAAAAGGGAGTGGCTATTTCTCCCAAGCAGCAGCTCCCCAGTAAGGGCTGACCCCAAGCCATGGGGGTCCCAGATGGATCAGAGGATAACTTGTTGTTCACTGGCCCAGCAGGGAGTTTTACTCCACACCTGCAAGCTCAGGACAGGAGAGGTTTCCAGAGCAAGCATCCCTCCAGAGAACCTCCTGGCTCAAAGCCTCTGCCCAAAAAACTGAGGGAGAATCCACCAGCCACTTCAAGTGGCTTTTCCTACCACTGAGCTGCTGGGGAGGCAGATAAAGGTCATGGAGTAGGACTTCCCTGGGAAGGGGAGACAAAGCTGGGTTGCAGCTACGTGCTACCAGCACTGTAAAAAAGTCACATTATATGATTGGCTTTTCGCATATATTAAAATAAAACATTGGTCTGTTCTGTTTCAGTCTCTATGCAATATTGCATAGGGAAATGTAAGATAACAACAATTAGAAATCAATCAGATAATGCACATGACCACTGACACATCTGCAATCATACAATTATCAGTCACTACAACACTGAACTGTCATCCCAGAGTCTGCGACAGCTGATGAACTTTAAAACAACAGAGAGCTGGAGAACTCGTGTCAAGATTCATGTTTCTCCAAACTCCCTTTGAAATCAGGCTCAGCTATCATACATGGTCAAATTGCCAAGCGAAAAGGACTTGAATACTTTTTGATGCAGAAAACATCTGAGCTGATTCTCAATCATTCCATTCAAGTAGAGCTAGAACTTGGCCAGAGCTCAATCTCTAATTGATGGACACCACTTAACACATTTTAAAACAAGACTCTTAAAAACAGAAATTATGAATAGGAAACCTGAGGATTAAAGATCAATCAAACCATTAAATAATTGAATCCCTCCAAAACTTCTGTCAGGACAGAAATTCTTCAAACACAGCAAACCTCTTGAATTCTCGGCTGAGGTACTGTATAATAACTGAAAAAATAATAACTGAAGAAAACCACAAAACTGGCAACCTGGATTTAAAGGAAACCTAAAAAACATGAGTAGTTAAAAACGAAAAAGACAAGACTCTGAAGAGACACGTGTCTTGTAGATGATCACACAAAGAGACAGTGAAACACATGAAAGCTGGCTGTAAATATTACAACAAGACCTTGATAATAATTCTTATAATAAATTCTGAGAATTCTCACGATATAATCAACTTATCAACAGGAAGTGTTTGAAGGGGTTATGACAACTTTTTTAAAGTATTCATATAGCATTAATAACAATCCTTATTTATCAGTATCACCTATAAAATCTAAAAATAACAAAGATTACAAACTCAATACAAACAAAATTCTGAATCATTGGAGAATCAGCTGGTGACCCCACAGATAGGATCTGATTGATATTTCTCAAATGCTCTGTCTTCAGAGACATTTCAGGTAATTGAATCATTACTAATACTTCTATCTTTCTACGGTGGTTTCCCTCCCTGAGAGGCATTTTGCACAATAGAAGATTTCCATTTATATCATATTTGGAATACCACTGATTTGCACTGGTTTCCCCTTTTTTCTGTATCTTGGGCAAAAACCTGGCTGCTTTCTCACTTTACTCTGATTTTGGACAGCTTTTTCACGTGTCCATCTTTTGTATCTGAAGCCTGATCATCTGGTAAATGCTGTTTCCGTCACTTCTGTGGGACCGGGCTGCTGCGGAGTTCGGTGCGCCTCACACAACATGCGCTGCAGCCGCGAAAAATCTCCCGCTTGAGATTCTGATGGAGGCTGAAACTGTGTGCTGGCTGCCGGGGCTGGCTGCGTGCCCGCTGCCGTGGGACCGGAGCAGGGCCGGTCCCTCGGGCACCCCCTGCACCCAGACCGCGCCCAGTCTCTGCTGGAGCTCTCACGGGAGTACGGATGCCCCCGCCCCGACCGCGCCTCCCCTGCGCTTCTCTCGGCGCAGGCGCGGTCTAGGGAACGCCCCCTGTGCCCGTGACCGACACCGGCGCTGCCCCGGTCCCCGCTCGGCCGCGTCCGTGCCGCGTCTGCGCACTGGGAAAAACCCGCCCCGCTCCGGCTGCCGGGTTTGTGCGTCATCACCGGGCGCCTGCCGCGCTCCGTGGCGGTCGCAGGGACGCTGCAGCCGTCCCGTCCCGTCCGCCTCAGTCCCGCCCGGCGCGGCTGCCGCGGCCCGTGCGCGTTCCCCGGGTGCCGCTGCCCGCCGCCATCGCAGTCGCGCGGGTTTTGCCCTTCGCGCGCGGCTTTGGCACCCCCTGCGTGAAACCGCCGCCATCGCGCATGCGCCCGCCGCTGCCGCCAGCTCCGCGCCTCCCGCTCCCGCGCTCCGCCCGGCCCGGCCCCGCTCGGCGCTGTCCCCGCAGCCGCCGGCCGTGCCCTGCACGCTGCCGACCGCCCGCTGCTGCGATCGCGGGCACCGCCGTGCGCGCTATTGCCTCCGCCGCTGCTGTGCCTGCGACTGCCCCGCTGCCCCCGTGGGCCCCCGCCGGCCTCCGCAGCCCCCACGGCCGCCTCTGCGGCCCCCCCGGGCTGCTCCCGGCCGGCGCCGCCGTGGCACGGGTTCGCCAGTCGCCGAGAAGCGGCTCTGCCCCGGGTTCCCCGACCCCCTCCGCCCTCCTCTCCCTGAGAGTTCTGGGCGTTCTGGGGACCCATGGGACCCTGGGCACTCTGGAGATGATGCCAATTCCTCCCACACCTGTTTGTTAGGGATTGCTTTTGCCCCTCCCTGGTCGGTAAGGGCAACTGCCGCCTGCTGATGGCAGGATGACTTCCCCCATCCTCGAGAGAATACTGCTGCCTGCTGATAGCTGACAGCCCCCGCGGAATTCCACGAAATTGCCTCTAACATTACCCTTGCTGGGGATAAAGGCTTCAAGGCCGTTTTATCTTTTTTCAGAGATTTTCACAGGGTGTGTGGCTGCCATGCCCTGTAGGGCTGACAAGATGCTGGTTTGTTCCTGGGAGCATGTCCCCCCCATGTTCTCAGTTTTGACTTTTCTTACCAAAGGCTGAATCATCTGCAAGGTCAGTCCGGAGTTTGCCCTGGTCACCATCCAGCAGCTTGCAGGTGAGGGTTTCCAGGCATGCTTGTGGTCCTCCTCTTTCCGGGTCGAGCTTGAAATGAATCTTCTCAGCAGAGGTCGAGATGTTCTTTCTGGATTTTTCCCTTGAGAGTGCCTGTTTCCTTTCCTTCTCGGGCTGGGTTTCAGCGGCTGATGGCTGTGGCGTGGCTGCTTGCCAAGAGCCCACCTGGGTGCCCTCTTGGAGCCCACCAGGGACACCAATGTCTCAGGGTCTCTTGCTGCTCAGAGTGACCCCAAGAAAAGTTCAAAGTCTCTTTTCCCAGCCCGGCGCTTGAAGAAGGAGTCAGGGCTCTTCATTTCTCAGTCTCAAGGTTGTTTATTTTATCTTATCTATAAAAAATTTTCTCCTGCCCTGCCGAGGTCAGCTCAGCAGGACAGTCTGAGGCACTCTGCCTGCCCCCGGGGCGGTGTTATGTCTTTATACTAAAAACTACGTGTACAATGTTTACAATTACTTTCCAATACCTATCACCTATGTTAGACAGTGAGCTTCTACTCTAAACCAATCAGTAAGTGCCAACATCACAGCAGAAGATGGAGGCCAAGAAGAAGGAGAAAGGCTGGACACACCCAGTTCCCTCCATCTTGCCTCCTGAACCCCATACCAAAAACCCCAAAATCTACTTTTCCACCCCTTCACTAATATTCTACCTAAACTGTTGTGGCCTGCTGATCTTCATATAAGGTTTGTAATTTGCTCTACGGGTCATAATCAAATCCACAGGTGTTTTGGGCTCTGTGCCAGGGCTTCTGAGCCCCCTGGCAGGGGTCCTGGCCATCCTGGACTGCCAGAGGGATGTTCTGGGTTCCCACAGGTCTCTTCTTAGGTCTTCTACAGGTTGGTTTTTTGTTTCCTCTCCTTCTGGTTGTGCTGGGAAAAAGCCCCTGCTGGGACATCTCTGCACCCTGGCATCCTGGGCATCTGCATAGGGCTGGGCAATGTAACAAAGGACTGGCTGGAGGCCTTTGGAAATGGGAATTTATGGACAGGTGGGATTGCTCAATCTGACTGCACTGAGCCCTCATGCAGGACAGAGCTCTGGATCTCCTTCCTGCTTCGCAGGGTTCAGTTTCCAGGTAGTGTGGGCAAGGACTGGCACTCACCTGCACAGAAAGGCTTCTGACTTTTGTCCCTGTAGCTAAGCCCAGGGTGAGATTCCTCCTTTAGTGCTCAAAGAAAGGAAATCCCAGAAGGGATGTGCTGTGTCTTTGAAACCATTACCAATTGTGATGAACACCCCTGCTAGAGTAGAACATGTCCCTGGTCAAAGGAGGTCACCCCTCTGACCAAACTGATCCCAGCCCAAAAGCCAGGCCTTCTGCTGGGCTCTGGAAGGGGTTCTGCAGGCAATGTACTCAGGGGAGAGATCTCCACTGGCCTCACTTCTCCCAGGGATAACATATCCCATCCCATCCCAAGGGTTCCCAGGATGGCCACAGACACAAGCAATGGGATCCAGCACACTTAGCTCTTTGAATAGCGCTTCTACACCTTTCTGAGCCAGACAGCAATCAGCCACAGACACTGGACATCAGGTGCACATGAAAATAAAATCAAAGACAGGATATTTAACAAGGACCTTTCCCCAAGGAACTCCAGGACTGCACTGAGCACGTTCTGGGGCAGAACACATCCCACAGCTGGCCCAGGAGCCCCATGCAGTGCTGGGGGTCCCTGACCCTCAGGCCCACTGAGGCTCTCCTGGGCCAGGGAGCTGCCTCAGCTGCCACAGCACTCAGGCACCATACAGGTGCCTCAGTCCCACCAGAGCACAGCCACCCACGAGAGGGTGAGACTCTTCTGCCACACACCAGGAGTGGAGAGGAACCTCCCAGGCCCCTTCACTGTCCTTTGGCACATTCATTTCAGCCTGACCCTCAAAGCCCTGCTCAGCAACATCCCCCGCTAAAGTAGGATGTGTCCCTGGTCAAAGGAGGTCACCCCTCTGCCCAAACTGATCCCAGCCCAAAGGCCAGGCCTTCTGCTGTGCTCTGGAAGGGGTTCTGCGGGCAACGTGCTCAGGGGAGAGATCTCCATTGGCCTCACTTCTCTCAGGGATAACACATCCCATCCAAGGTTCCCAAGGATGGGCACAGGCAAGAGCAATGGCAGCCATGAGTCCACACTTACTTATGGACTCCAATTGGCCTCCTTGGTCTTGCTGCCATGAACTCCCTTTTTTGTGGCCATTAGGTTCACCTGAAAAGAAAAAGAAAAATGAAAAAGAGGAAGCTTCACTATGATATTTCCCCTTAGGTTTTAAAAAATGCATTTACGAGCTTTTTTGTGACACATAGATCCCTCAAAATATACTACTGAAACCTCTGATCTCGTCAGGGTTTTTTAATTTACTGATTTTCCTTTCCATCACTGTCTAAATAGAATACAGCTCTTTCCAAGATATTCAGTCCTTACTTCTGGTCTCCCATATCATTTTCTCTACGTTCACTCTGCAATGCAAGGGAAAAGAGGGGTAAAATCTCTGTGGTTACAACATCTCAGCACTAGAGAAGATAAGGCCGTTGATAAGATGTTCTGTTGCACTCCCAGCTGGTCCCTAACCCATCTTGTCTGCCCTGGAGCTCTGAGAATTCTCACAGACACACACTTCATCTTCCTTGGTAAAAATTAAGACCTGCTTTTGCAGAGTGCAGAACCTGGTGTTCAACCCCAGTCATATTTTCCTCAGAGGCAAGGGACCATTTTCCATTCCTTCAGACTCAAATCCTGGAGGTTATCCTGACCAGCTATGAAGAAATCTATGGTGAAAGGACAAGTGACCTTGGCTGGAGTCGACACAGGAGGTGTCCCGACCAGAGAGTAATTACCACTGATTCCATGATGCAGAAGGCATGAAAGACACTTTATTATTTGTGTATAGTATTAAGAAATATACAGTTCCTATAGGAACAGTAGTGGACGTAAGACCTGATTGGTCTTAAGGTGAAAACCTCTTGCACTATTGATGCACTATGAATAGTACACTCTAGCAAACCATTTTTATAAACAATGGTTATAGAAAGAGCGATAATAATGGTTTGATTTTTTTTTTTCTAGGATTGTTAGGTTCAGTTTGTGAGAAATTGTCTCTGTTCATTCTTTGACTGAACTGAGAATATTTACAGGCTGGCTGCCAAATGCCCATCAAACTTCTCTCACTCCCCCTCCTCAACTGGATAGGAGGAAAAAATACAACTGAAGAGCTCACATAAAGCCTGGGACATCCCTCTCCAGCTGCCACCATGGGCAAACCAGACTCGACTTAGGGACGATTGCCCTGCTTTTTCAGCAATTCCCAATAGAGCAGCAAGCTGGATAACAAAGATAAAACTGAAGTCACCTCACTCCCACTCTCCCCTCTCCTGGCTGTGAACACACCTGGTGCAGGTGGCTGGGGCAGCTGCAGTGCCTGATGCAAGCTGAGCTCCAGGTGGGAGCCCGAGACAAGAGCTCATGAATGGCCAACAGAGCCCAACAAAGGGCACCAAGAGTGGTGGCACTGCTGGGGAAGGGGCACCGAGAGACTCAGCAAGAGCTGAGGGCCTGGGAGGAAGAGCCAGACTCGAG